TGTCACTGAGACTGGGCTAATCCTCCTAGCTCAGGCTCAAATGCCACTTTATTATTGGTGGGAATCTTTTAAGGCAGCCACATACCTGATTAACAGACTACCCACCTCTGTTCTGAGCCATAAATCACCTTATCAAATCCTGTTCAGTAAAGATTTTGATTACAAACAACTGTGCATGTTTTCCATGTCTCCGACCATACCAGAAGCATAAATTCTCCTTTCATTCTCAAAAATGTGTCTACCTTGGCTATGGAGACACCCACAAAGGCTATAAGTGTCTAAGTCCTAGTGGCAGGGTTTACGTTTCTAGGCATGTGGTTTTCAACAAGTCTGAGTTTCCATTTAAAGCTGGTTTCCGAAACAGAGACGTTCAACCTGAGATCTGTGATATAGGAATAAGTTGTTTTCCCTTCATTAATCCAACTAACCATACCACTTCCCAAAGTGCAACTGCAGCTCAAACACTGCTACCTGAAGTGACTCCTGCATAAGCCACTCTCACTAGTGAAATTGAAGGTGAGGTTGGTAGAACTGAAATAGATGATGAGGTGAATCATGAGTTAGAAGTAAGAAATGAAATGCCAGAATGTCAATCTGATGAAGATGACACTCAGAACTTAGCAGGTATGGCAGCTATGGGAGAAAGAAATCTCTCTCAGGATCTTGGACACCGAATGGTTACTAGAAGCAAGGCTGGGATTTTTAAGCCCAAAATCTACTCAAGTGTGACATCGATGAACTAGTTGAGGCAGAACTAATTAACACTGATGAGGCACTAACAAGCGATAGTTGGAGAAATGCTATGAAAGAGGAATACAATGCCCTTATGAAGAATGACACATGGACTCTAGTTTCACCTAAGGCTGGGATGAAAGTCATAGGCAATAAATGGATCTTTAAACTGAAGTTTGATGCAAATGGGAAAGTTGCAAGGCACAAAGCTAGACTCGTAGCTAAAGGATTTCTTCAAACCCCTGGAATCGATTTCAGCGAAACCTTTAGCCCTGTGATTAAAGCTGCAACTCTCAAAATCATCTTGACCCTTGCTGTGTCAAAGAATTGGCAGATCAGGCAGGTGGATATAAATAATTCTTTTCTCAATGGGAACTTGAATGAAGTTGTCTACATGAATCAGCCACAAGTCTTTGTTGACAAAGATCATCCCAATTACGTATGCAAGCTTAAAAGAGCATTGTATGGGCTAAGACAGGCACCTAGGGCCTAGCATGAAAAATTGAAGCATACCCTACTCGAGGGGAAATTCAAACAATCCAAAGCAGACAATTCATTGTTTTTTCTATCGAAGGGAACTGATATCCTATTTGCCTTGATCTATGTAGATGATATAGTGATCACAGGTAATAATGACCAACATCTACAAGAGTTTATTAACAAACTCAACGATAGCTTTGCACTTAAGGATATGGGAAAGCTAAAGCATTTTCTGGGAATTGAAGTTACAAGGAACTCAGCTGCCTTGCATCTAAGGCAAACCAGATATGCCACTGAATTACTGAGAAGATTTGGCTATGAAAATTTAAAGCCTAGCCTCACACCTATGACTGTTGGGAAACAAATCTCCAAGGCAGAAGGTCAATTAATGAAGGATCCCACTCCCTATAGAAGTGCCATAGGTGGACTTCAGTACTTAATCCATACCAGAACAGATTTAACTTATGATGTGAACAGGTTAAGTCAGTATCTTCAGGCACCAACAGATGCACATTGGAAGGCACTTAAGAGGGTTTTCAGATACCTGAAAGGGACACTCAATTATGGACTAACTATCCAAAGGAATGACAACCTAGATATTATTGCCTTTGCAGATTCTGACTGGGCTTCATGTCCAGACGATAGGAGGTCAACAGCTGGATATTGCGTGTATCTTGGGGATAATTTAGTGTCATGGAGCTCCAAGAAACAACATGTAGTAGCCAGCTCACAGCATGATGGAAGAACCACAGCCTACAATTGCGTGTATCTTGGGGATAATTTAGTGTCATGGAGCTCCAAGAAACAACATGTAGTAGCTAGCTCACAACGTGTTGGAAGAACCACAGCCTACACTACCTCACAGCTTGCTAACGGAATAAAGAAAGGACCACAACATATTGCATTTCCTAATTTATAGGGATTGGATTCAATTCAGTTGGCCAGCTATTCCAATTAGTTAGATTAATATTCTTCTTTGCAATTTTAGAACTTTCCTTTATCTGTATAAATACCATAGTAACCATCAATGAAGAATCAAGTTTTCAGCTTCACTTCCTTCAGTTTTTTAATTACACAAAGTAGCCATGTGTTTCCCTGCCATTTATTTAAGTTAATAATTGTAAAAATAGTCATTTCTCAATCCCCATTATGATTTGAATTTATTATTTTCAATAGAATCGTATAGGAATACAATATTATTTTTAATATGTAATGTCAGGTTTGAAAAAATTTAACTATACAAGTAATATTTTTAAATAAATTTTATAAATTAATAGTAATCGATATAATAAAGTATGACCGTTCAAGTTAATTAAACATGTAGTATTATTATAATTTATTTTAGTGGTGTGTAATAATGATTTTTTTAAATTGTGTACTAACAATTAGTAATAATTGTATTTAGTAAAAAATAATTGAATCACTTTTTTAAAGCAATAATAATTATTAATTATCTTATTTAGAGGGAATAGATTGAATCATTTGGTATTCCGTAGTTAACATTTGGTAATCTTGTATACTAATAGTTAGTAATAATTGTGCTTAGTTGAAATTAACCGACTTAATTCTTGAAAGCAATAATAATTATTAATTTTCTTATTTTGAGATAATAATTGAATTATTTGGTATTCCATTTTTATCCGAACTTAGATATATTCATATGTAACTGTCAATTAGAATAACTTTTCAATAAGGGTAAATAATAAATATAACATATTAATGCAGCCTTTCAATTTTTTTTTCTTTTTCTTTTTATAAATCATGAGGGTATATTGGACATAATAATAATTATTAATTTTCTTATTTAGAGATAATAATTGAATTATTTGGTATTCCATTTTTATCTAAACTTAGATATATTCATATGTAACTGTCAATTAGAATAACTTTTCAATAAGGGTAAACAATAAATATAACATATTAATGCAGCCTTTCAATTTTTTTATTTTTTTCTTTTTGTAAATCATGAGGGTATATTGGACATATAGATAAATATGTAGGGATAAAAGTGGTATTCGAAAGTTTCTCCTCAATCTCCACTTTTAATATATTGTAGATATGTAAGATTGTTCATTCATTAAATCAAGTCATCATACACGCTAGTGAAATATATAATGAAATACAATTAGTCCATGAGTCCATCTAGCCAAAGTAAAAGAGATGTGAAACTCTTTTTACACATCCCATAGTCCGTATTTTCAAGTAAAGCTACAATATCAAATAAAATGACTACGTTCAGGGCTATGCCAAAGTCAGACCTAATGCTTCTGAACCAGTGAGAATGCAAACAATAGCCCTTTCCCATAACGCCACGGCATCTACATCCTCCACTGATAGGANCACGGCATCTACATCCTCCACTGATAGGAGATCGATCAATCTACGAGCCATGTGTCGCCATCACCACCCCGTCCTCTCAGAGTTGTCCACCACCAAGGCATCCGTATCAGTGTCGAGCATAAGATTTTCCCGGGTGCCACCTAACTGGTTCAAGCCTGCTGCTATGTCAGCCAAAATTCTTCATAGCTCCTTTGACTTTATTAAGAGCTTGTTTGGTAGAAATGAAAATCGGATTAAAATTGAAAAACTAGCCGTTATTGTTGACTTTTATTAGACGAGTGTGACCCAATAACAGCTATATTTTCAATTTTAATTGAATTAAAATCCCTCCCAAACAAGCTTTAAAATTGAATTTGTGTTATTTATGCTATTTTCTTATGAAGGTACACTCGCTCAACTCACTCGATCATGTTGGTTTAATTGTCGAGTTGGTTTAGTATGATTTGTGAATGTCATTTGTTTAATTCTGTTGTTGTTGTTGTTTTTGTTGCATGACTATAACTATGACTATGACTCATCAATTAAACAATTATCATTAGTCAGCGTGTCAATGAATATGATAAAAGAAGAAAGATAGGGATTTGAGACAATTTCTTAGACTGCTAAAAATGGATGAAGTCATTGGTTGTAATAGAATAAATAGAAATTTTAATTGAATCGCTATGTTTTTTGTCTCAAAAATAATCCAAGTCTCTTAATTTTCGGGCAAGTGGGCAATATCAACATACGGATTAATGGCTAGATTGGATATTATCGTTAGTATTTTCTAATGATAGTTCAGCGAGCGAAATTCAATGACGGGAAATATATACAAAGTGAAATTCCTGATTAACAAATTTAAAAGAGTAAATTTCACCAGCATTCTTCCAACCTTTTCAATCATGGCAAATATGTATCCAACTAGCAAAAGAATATCATATTAACGTTAAAAGTTGAAGTCATCTTTTCGGAGAATTTTACTTGAATTAAGCCATGTTGACAGAAAGAATTTGACATCTTGGATGACCTACTCTCACGTGTGCATAGGTCCCGCATGGGACCCACGTGAATATAAAATGCAAAAAAATCCCCCCACCCACCCCCCACTGTGAGTGTATGTCACCTAGGGTGTCAAATTCTTTCTGACACCCTAGCATGATTGTTAGTTTGATCCTAGTGGTGAGTTAAGATTGATTTTACTTTCATCCTGACATTATGAGTCCGTTACGTGGTCATTAACATTGAATAAATACTTTTTATTAGCTGGGGACATGGATGCCTCAATTCAAAAAGATTGAGGACATGGATGCAATAAATAGCTTAATCCATTCTGGTCCAATTCTAAGTGCTGTTTTCACTCCCCAAAACCCTGACAATTCACTAAAAACCCTAATCTACATCTTGAATCCAAACAGAATTTGAAACCCACGTTATTATATATATTATCTACACATAGAGAAAGATTGAAAATGGCGTTCCGGTCAAGAGAAATGGTAAAGAAGATAATGAAGAAAATTGGGGGAGACGAGAATTTAGCGCCTGGTGTGAAAGAGCAACTCAAGAAATGTGCGCCCGACAGCAAGGTCGTCATGGGCCGGGCCCATCGTGGGCTTTACGCAGGCCGCCACATCCAGTTCGGCAACCGCGTCAGTGAAGACGGCGGCAACAAGTCAGTATATTATTTGTGTTTGGGACTTCTGTTTGTGTTTCATACTTACCTATGAGAATACTGTATATTTTGTGTTTCTTATTTTTATTTGAGTGCTTTGGGAGATGAATAATTATGTGAATTTTGGTGGGTTGGTGATTATTATATTTTTCAGGATGAAATAAAAGTTTTAAATTTATTGGAGTTTGATAGAACATAATCAGATCATGTCCTATAATATCTAAAAATGCTCACACTATGTTGGGCAGTATGGCAAAGGGGTCTGGGAATCAGAATCTGAAAAATTTCGAGTCGGAGTTGATATGATACGTCAGGAACATCCCTTGCGATTCCCCAATTCCTTACTGCCAAAAGCTATGTAAGAAATGTTCAGGCCTCAGGGCAATCTAGGACTCGCTGTGGTTATTAAGTCTTTTAACTATTTTAGATTTTGCATCTCTTGGTATTAATGAATGCAAACTTTTACTATCTTCTCGTACGTTTTTATTATCGTATTTCCAACGTTCTAAGAGCTTATCACTCTGAATTAAATACATAAATAGCATAACACCGTGCTGTGGAAAACTTTATAGTTGCTATGTCATTATCTATTCTCTAAATATTTATATCATATAAACACAAGAAATGTTACCTTTTGAGTAATTAATGTTAGCCTAAAGGGGTAGAAGTATTTGTTGCATGATAAGCATAAATGGATTCCTGATGCTTTCATACTACTTCCATCATCTCGACGCTCTTCTCATTGTAATTATTTGTTGTTCTCTTGATTTCCTCCCTGTGTATCGACCTCAGACTCCCAGAGAATTATTACTGTTGAACAATCTAAACTTGGATTGCAACAACGATAAATGAATATTGCTTTCCAGAGCTGTGTCCAGTGAGACAACTCCATGTAATTTGGGATGGATTCTGAATACTTCTTTTCCTGAGACCCTTTTAAGGTTTTTTGAACCTTGGGAATCATGACTTTTTGAATGCATTTCATTTGTATTATGAACAGCTTGTTTGGTCATTGTTACTTGTTGTCACTTGGAATATCACCTTACTATAGATTATTGATACTACGTTATGAGCTCTTAAACTTTAAATTCAATTTTTGAATGCATACAAGTAGATTTACCGGTCAATTAGCAATAATCAACGGAAGCTGATATCAAAATGGTGATCAGTTACTTGTCATGGTCCTATGGATAAGCATTGATGTGCTTGACTTTTCTCCCTTACCCCCTCCCTCACTATATGTGTCTGAGTGTAAATAAGTATAACCAACCTAAACAATAAAGAAGGAAGAAAGAGATTAAAGATAATTTGCTTCTTGTGAGCTATACGACAAAGACAAAATAAAATAGAGTCTAAGCCTACATACTGGTGAAATGAAAAATATACTACTCTATTACTTTTTCTGCCAACAAAGACAAAATAAACTAGAGCCTAAGCCTACATACTGGTGCCTTTTATGAGATTCCTTATTGGACCCAATAGTCATTCCATATTTTAGCTGTATTTTGGAACTTGACCACATAACATGGACTCCTAGCTATCCCTTCTTTTGTTATCCAAATAAATACAGCATATACTCTTTTGTGCAAAAGTGGTGTATCTTTGGCACAAAATAGCACATCATAAGTGAAACTAAAGTAAAAAATATCTTTATGGCCTTTATAGTAGGTTTTATTGATATGTATGCTTGGAAATGGGGAAAACATAAGGATCCAAGGTGTGAGCTCTGTCTGATTTGATATATTTATTAGTGCTGAGAGTCCAACCATAGAATTGATATATCTAGTGCTTGCTTATTAAAAAATCGTAGCTAGATTTAACTTTCGTATCCTCAGTTACTGGTGAATTAGTACACTGGCTAGTTAGATTTGGAGTACTTTGTGGTAAATTTTTGTGATTGACTTGTAATTATTGTATGAGAAGTAATGAGTACGATATTTTCTTTTAGCTTCCATTATGCATATTCAACTCTTATCCATGAAATAATGAAGATATTGCACTGACTCTTATTAGTTTGATGACAATGATAGGACAAAGAGGAATTGGAAGCCTAATGTGCAGGAGAAACGGCTTTTCAGCTACATTCTTGATCGCCACATTCGTGTTAAGGTAACCACACATGCTATCCGCTGTATAGATAAGGCAGGCGGGATAGATGAGTACTTGCTGAAAACTCCGTACCACAAGATGGACACCGAGATGGGCCTCTTCTGGAAAGCTAAAATTGAAAAGATGTACGAAAAACTTGGGGAGATGGAGGTAGTTTTCTTCACACCCGAGGATGAGGATCGTTTAGAAGAGCAATTTAGAGAAATCAAATTAGCTGAACGAGCAGCACGTAGGGATGCACGGAGAAAAATGTATGGTTGGTCCGGCAAAAAAGATGGAGCAGATGCTGAAGGAGCACAAGAAGAAACTTCTGGCAGCGAAGGAGGAGGGCCGCATGCTGACATTCACGAGCAGATGCTGGCTAATGCTTGAGTATACGCCTCATCTATTGTAATGTTGTTGGTCTCGCATCATAGGGGCTGCTGGATTTTTGTAGCTTGATCTCTTTCGAGTTTTCCCCTTACATGTTATTGCCTTGAATTACAGTTTTGGTTTCTAAATTACTGCCTCAATATATATGAACAAATTGCTTAGTTTTTATTGTAACGTTTGACCAAGCATTTGCCTGGACATGGGCATGGCCTGCATGGTAGGCTTGGTGGTATTCAAAATAAGAATGAGTTAGCAGGGTTCAAGTAATTTGTTCTGGCCTTGTTCGCGAGATTCGGCTAATATTTGACAATTGCTTGGTTTGAATCAGATTGTTGTTGAATTTTATTCAATACAGTGTAGTAAAAAGTATTGAAATGGTATTACCAATAATCTCCACAGGAGCATTCTCCATTTTCAAACTTGTGGAACCTATTAGCATCTCTAACGAGAAACAGTTTCTTCAAAATCTTGGACAAACCTTTAATGAACTCGTGACAATCCCCACAAATTCTCAAGTTCTTGAAAATCGTAATGGGCTGTCCTTCCTTCTTTATCCCACCACAAACTAAAGCCAAACCAATGGCCAATTTCTCGCTATGAACTCTCAAGTTTTCCTCCTTTGATTCCTCTTCTACATCATGCAGCGCAAATCTCACTTCATATGCATAACCCATTACTTCTTTCATTTTCTTCTCCATTTCTTTCAAAATTTCGTGGATTTTTTGAGTAAGCGGATGTGTTTCGTCGCCATTGTAGAAAAAGTGCATCTCCTTATCAATCTCAACCCAACTACGCCCAGCTTCCTTCTTCAAACCCTTAGCTTTCACTAACCTTCTCAATCTCTCACACTCTTTCCAGTAGAGGGCGTCGGCAAAAACATTCGACAACAAAACATAGTTTACGGGATTTTCACCATCCAATCTCAAGAGAATCTCCCCTACTTCTCTTCCTATTTCGACATCTTTATGTACTCTACAAGCACTGAGTAATGTTTGCCATATTCCTATATTAGGTCTTAAGGGCATTTCCTGTATGAGGTTCTTGGCTTCTTTCAACCGTCCTGCTCGACCAAGGATATCAACCATGCAAGCATAATGCTCGACTCTAGTTTTTATCTGATAACTATTACACAATTGCGTGAAGTATCTCTGGCTTTCTTCAACAAGTCCCGAATGGCTGCAAGCCGAGAGCAAAGCCAAGTAGGTTACATGGTCTGGCTCAATATTATCCTGCTGCATTTTCTCGAAGAGATCAATTGCTTCATTACCAAGACCATACTTCCCGTATCCCGTGATCATAACTGTGTAGGAGATTGCATTCTTCTCCGGCATATCGACAAAAAGCCGTTCAGCATCCTCCGTCAAACCACATTTGAGATACATATCCACAATTGAGTTTGCTACCGATGTTTCTAAACCCGAGGGGGTTTTGATGGCATAGGAATGCATCTGCTTTCCTGACTCCGCAAGAGCAAAATCCGCAAAGACGCTGATCATGCTGGAAAGGACAAATCTATCAATGGGAATGCGACTCCCCTTAAGCTGTCTGAACAAGTCCATTGCCTCTGATAAGTTTCCTTCTTGAGAGTATCCTATTATTAGTGTCGTCCAAGGTACGACACTTTTCGTTTCCAATTGATCAAACACCTTTCTTGCTTGAAACAAGTATCCACATTGGGCGTACAGATCAATAAGAGCACCGGAAATAATGTTTTGAACTGGAATTGGGCATCCTCTTATAATCAGAAAGGCATGAATTTGTGTTCCCTCTTGAAAAGCTCCAAGACCACGACAGGCCTTTAATGTGCTCGTAAATGTATACTCATCCGGTATCTCTCCTTGCATTTGCATCTCCTTGAATAAACGCAAAGATCTATCACACATATCTTCGAAAAGGGAATACCCTGATATCATCGCATTCCAAGTTATCAGACTCCTAACTGGCATAACATGAAACATCCGTTCAGCTTCATTGATTTTTCCACATTTCGAGTACATATCAATGATTGAATTTCCCAGCACCGGATACCCTTCAAATCCACTTTTAGTACACAAACCATGAATCTGCATCCCGTTTTCCAGAATATCCAAAAATGCACACGCCTTGATATTTGTAGAGAAAGTATATTCATTAGGCCTCACACCAGAAAATCCCATGTGACGAAAAAGTGATAAAGACGCCTTGGCGTTGCCCTCTTGTAAATATCCACACATCAAAGCTGTCCAAGAAACAACATTTCTTTCAGGCATTCTATCAAACACTGCATAAGCATTGCTCGTCCTGCCACATTTTCCATACATATCTATGAGATCGTTATTTACCATCAAATCAGACCCGTAATCCTTCCTTACAACAGCTCCATGAACCTCCTTTCCTTGATCGAGAAACAAATTTCTAGAACATTTTCTTAAAAGCTCTGCTAATTTTTGTCTCTCACTCATCAGTAAAACTACAGTTCGGAGCATAATCAACAAAAAGACTAAACATAAGCTTTAAACATTGCCTCTATACTTCAAAATTTCACCCCCATCTTCAAATTTCATCATGCTGTATCACAGAAGTTATTCTTATTTAAATTACCTGGAACTATTTGGTTCCAAAAAAGGAAACTTCGACACAGTTGAGAGTAGTGGCCCAAATGTTGAACCGACGAACCCCTACTCACACAGTGAGTCGCAGTGACTACTGTTAAACAAAAACCCACAGATCTCCAGAGAGTTGTAAGAACGTGTATGGCGGCATAACGTGCCTAGAGCTGGAAGCCGGAAGGTCCAAAGAAAGTCGGTGACTGATGACAAGGCAATTACGTGGTATTAAATAATAGATTCACTTAAATACAAATACACGATCCATTTAATTCAACCCATCAAGTGTGAACGCATATTGTTACAAAAGAGTGAATATTGGATCTTGGAAAAAGATTTAAGCTTTGCTGCATTAGCATCTCAATGGCAGCAAAAGTTGGAGTCTTGACAATCAGAGGATTGGAAGATATGTTCATACCCATGTTAAGAAAATGCAATAAAATGGGACAATTGAAAAGAATTCAAGCCCAAATGGTGAAGTTTTCACTGTCACAAAGCAATTTCTTGGCGACTAGGATGGTAGATATTTGTGATCAAAATGGAGAAATAGAGTATGCAAGTCTGGTATTCAAACAAGTTTTTGAACCAAACATTTTCTTGTACAATGCTATGATTAGAGCCTATACACACAATCATACGTATATAGTGACCATCAATGTGTATAAGCAAATTCTAAGTCATAAAGGATTTGAAGAGCCCATTTTGCCTGATAGATATACGTACCCTTTTGTTATTAGATCTTGTGGAGGACTTCTGAATGTTTCTTTAGGGAGGCAAGTCCATGGGCATGTGTTTAAATTTGGGTTGAAGTGTACAAATGTGATAGAAAATTCATTGTTGGATATGTATGTTAAGTGTGATGAAATGAGTAATGCTCATATGGTGTTTGAGGAAATGACTGAAAGGGATGTGATTTCTTGGAATAGTCTTATGACTGGGCACATAAGGTTAGGTCAAACGAGAAGAGCCAGAGCATTGTTTGACGAGATGCCTAATAAGACTATTGTTTCGTGGACAACAATGATTTCTGGGTACACGAAAATTGGGTACTATGGCGATGCATTGGATGTTTTTCGGGGAATGCAGATGGTAGGGATGCAGCCTGACTGGATCAGTTTAGTTTCTGTTTTACCAGCTTGTGCTCAACTGGGAGCTCTAGAGCTCGGAAAATGGATTCATTTTTATGCTGATAAAAATGGGTTTTTGAAGAAGACTTGTGTATGCAATGCATTGATTGAAATGTATTCAAAATGTGGAAGTGTGAACCAAGCTTGGCAGTTGTTTAGTCAGATGCCAGAGAGGGATGTTATCTCGTGGAGTACTATGATTTCTGGGTTAGCAAATCATGGGAGAGCCCTCCAAGCCATTGAATTGTTTCTGGCAATGCAGAGGAAAAAAGTTGAACCAAATGAGATCACTTTTGTTGGCCTTTTATCAGCTTGTGGACACGCTGGTTTACTCGACGAGGGACTGAAGTACTTCGACTCGATGAGAGATGAGTATAATATCGAGCCAGGAGTTGAGCATTTTAGCTGTTTGGTCGATCTTCTTGGGCGTACAGGGCATCTCGATCGAGCTCTTGAACTCGTAAAGAGCATGCCAATGAAGCCAGATGCAGCAATATGGGGTTCTTTATTGAGTTCCTGCAGAACTCACCGTCGTCTCGAAATTGCAGCTATTGCAATGGAAAATCTCTTAGAGCTTGAACCCGAAGACACGGGGAACTTTGTTTTACTTGCAAATATTTATGCAGATCTTGGAAAATGGGATGGTGTTTCAAGAATGAGGAAGTTCATTAGAAGAAAAAGCATGAAGAAAACACCAGGCTGCAGTTCGATCGAGGTTAACAATGTGGTTCAGGAATTTGTATCAGGTGATGATTCGAAGACATTCTCCAAAGATGTATATCAAATATTGGAGTTACTGGCTTTGGATCAGACCAGAGGAAGCGATCTGATTGAAACCATGTTTGCAGATCAAGGTTGGTTTGCATTTCAATAGAGTATGAGTGATTATTGTTTTTATCGTTTGCTTTGTTACAATCACGTTAAGCAGAAGTCATCCTTAAAACCTTAAAATCGGACGGTAAGGGGAGGGGAGGGTGCTCAAGTGGTTCTATAAGCCCTACAAGTTAAGCACTAACTTAGCACTACAAAACAAATAGTCATTACATTTCACTTCTCCTTTGAAAACTGGCGTCACGACAGCTCGTATATCATCTAGGTGACTTCACACTTCACAGAACTAGTTTTGAACTGAAAGTAACCCTTTCCAAGTCATCCTGTCTGTGACGAGAATCATCTCCAGAAGGGTACAGATAATGGCTTCTTTTGTCTAGGGTTCTTGTGTCTCTGATTAACCATACTGAATAGCTCGGCCTTTTGAATAAACTCGTGGTTATTTAGAGCAAGAGCAAAGCAAGGGTTCAGACATTTTTTACGATGATATATGGAGAATCTAACTGATGTCTCCACTCTCCATGGGTTTGTACATATTGACAGAAGATATCACAGCTCGAATTTTCTTCAACAGACATGCCCCAACTCAGTATAGCACTCGAGGCAAGTGGAGAACTTTTTGGTTCACTCGGAATTATGATTCTTCAAAGAGGAATTTTATGCTGAAACTTGGAACATTTGACATGGGATTATATTCCTATTGAAGAATAAAATGCAAGTGCCAGTTTCTATATAATAAGTGGAAATGACTAGACCTTGATCTTTAAAAGAATTTAAAACGAGGTATGTTAAACTCCATCTAGTTTTAACATCGCCAACATTTTATTTTCTCTAAACCTTAAGTTCTACATGCTTCGACAAATTTCCATTACAAAAGTACACTCAATCCTAGTAGTCTGAGCGACCTAGAGATACGGGTCACCGTCAATGAGCAATTTATCTCCATTGAATCCATGGAAGTAGTGATGACAACAGGACAACAGGATTTTAAAAACTCCCCATTTAATTTTAATTTTATTTGGAAAAAAAAAATATTCAGGACGTGTTCGAAAAATTTGGGACGGGTTCCCATCCCCTGCCCTATTTACTATTTGGGGTGAGGTGGGGCAATGCCGGTGGGTCACGGGCGGAAAATTTTGTCATTCATAAAATATTCAGGCTCGAAAAAAATTAGTGTGAAAGGGAATGAGAGCTCATGTTCTTGTGGATGAATCCAATAAATCAAGGTCGTGATCAACTTAAGATTACGCTTATGTTTTACAACATTGAGAACTCTGAATCCTCCTTGGAGAGGTCTTTTAAGGGCCCCTTCCTAATTCAAGGAGCTCAGAGGACTTCAAGTCAATAGGTTTGTAGTCCAATTATAGTTTCAATAGAAAAATGATTGAAGTACAGAATTTTTTTTTTTTACCAGAGTTTTACTAGAAATTTGAATTCTCACTCATATAGAATGGACCCCATGAATAAAATAATGAAAACAAAAAAGTTTTCCACCCAATTGTTGTATCTATTCTGTAAATACAAGAATTTTGAATTCCAGTACCTATAGCAAAGCTTGTATCAATAAGTGAATAGTTACTTTTAGAATATGTATTTAAAACAATTTAATGCATCATCAACGGTTATATTCATTAAAAAAATTATGACTTGAGCATTGTTGGTATCACCTCATCGACTCATTTTCTCAATTCTAGAAGTGTTGCCGTTTAGTACTTCTTTCTTTAAATACATGGCGTGTTAAGTGTTACAAAATAATTAATTTGGTATCGAGGACTGAACTTATGGTCCAAAGAAAAGGTCGTCGTAATTATGCTTCATAAGAAAAAGAAAACCTACTTTATTTATGTGATTGGATGGCTAGTTTTATAATAGAGATGATCATTATGAACGAGGAATTATTTTATTCAATGGAATATTTCGTTTCTTGTGACATGACATGCCCAAATAAAATAGTGGAATTGGAAAATTAAAAATAAATAATGTTAATCCCAACAAAAGTTGAGAAAATACAAAAAAATGTCTGTTTGATTCGTTCATATTTTCATAATTGCCTTTGACAATTAAAAAAAATTAATAACAAAAATAATTAAGTTAAATACCTACCCTCATTTTCAACCAAATATTTTAGTGAAGAGGAAAAAAAAGAAATTTCAAAATTACTCACACGGTAGTGGTGTCAAATCTGTTCACGCCCACGAGCCGCTCGGACTCGTTAAAAAACGAGCCCGAGCCTGAGCACGAGCCGAGCGGGCTGGTGGGCTAGACGAGCCGAGTCATCTACGGCTCGACGAGCCGCTCGTGAGACGAGGACTCGTCTAAACGAGCCTGCAGGCTCGTCTA